TAGATCAGATAGTCTGCTTAGGCAATAAATAACGCTGCCATATCCTATACGTAATGTTCTCATTTACACATATCTACATACCTCCGTGATATATGTATTTGCATTGTGTCGCGTTCCGTTCTAATGAATGCTATGGTGTCGCGTACGTCTTACGAATCAATTAGAATCGATTCGATAGGTTGATTTCGCAAATGCTGAAGCAGTAATGCGTTTCGGTTTGAAGGGTGGGGCAGCCGTTGTAACTATACTGAGACCTTAGAACAAGGTGTGTGGCGCACTTACGTTGTAGATGTCTATGGGCTCCAGTAACCACTTAACACCAGGTGGGCTGTGAGCTCGTACACACATCTAAGCAATAAAAAAAAATTAAATTTGCAATATTAATAATTGAAATAACTTCATTGGAATTCAGTCGCTTTTAAAATCGTTAATTCCGCGTCTTTTACTGCGACAGCATTCTACATGACGCTCCAAGCTTGTATTTTTGTTTGCGTATAGTATAAATTATGTACAAATTCGGAGTACATTATTATGGAAATAATCATTTTAAAAATGTAGCAAAATATCTTTTTTTTATTTCGAAGTTGTATAGCGTCTGAGTTACGATTCTTATCTTTCGCATTAAAAGATTGTTTGAAGAAACCGTGGCTTAGATTTTTTTTTTAGGAAAAAAATAACTGCCTAAACCGTCACAGTTGACGCGATGTTTTATTCTCCGTTTTTTTTTTTTTTATAAAGCTTCACACCTCATAAAAGTCCGCAAATATGACTACTTAATAGCCATTATAAATTAACCTAAGCTGTACTACAAGAGCAACGCGATTTCACAATAATTCGTTCTTTTCTTTGTTTTTAAATATTGGAACGAAGTTCCTTATCGCGCGTTGTGAAAGGGGGCTAGACGGAAAAAATTCTTACGAAAAGTTGTCACGACACTTTTTAGATCCGTCATTCTGACCAATCAACGTGTAGGCGCTTATCGCGTGACATTGCTCGTATCCGATTGGTCCGCGTAATGAGTACAGTTTCTCGAGATAGCGTTTCAACAATAGTAATTTAGTNGTGACATTGCTCGTATCCGATTGGTCCGCGTAATGAGTACAGTTTCTCGAGATAGCGTTTCAACAATAGTAATTTAGTTCATAGTATTGTTTTTTTCTTCTTCATAATGCCGTAATTTATTATTATAACTTAAAAAAAAAATTACAATTCCTTCACTAATTAATCGAAAGGAACTTCGTTCCATCCGGGTGTCCCTTGAAACCTCTGAAGTTTTTTTTTTTCAGAATCGTAGAAGAATCAGAAGAGTACGAACAAACCTATACGTCATAAATAATAATCCCGCTCACTGAACTTCGTAATGTGTTTGTAAATACGCTAATGAGCATCAAGCTTGGAGTCGTGTCCCGCTGATGTCGTTAAGTCTCGGGCCGGTCACACCATCCGATTTCAATCTTGATTACGTTAATTACCTGTGATGCTCTACCGGATTTTCCGGAATTCGAACACATTTTCAACGGACGCTTAAATTATTGTCTTAATTCATAAAATTTTATGACACTTTAAAAGTTTCTTACGAAAAAAAATTTAATATCAATAAATTAGGTTTTAATTAGTCACGTATAATAATTATTCGTTGACACATCTCGATTTTGGGGGTCGATGGACTGTTTCACAACTTATTTTGTTTATGGGACTATAAGAAAGCTTTCTGGTCGGACTTTTATGTGAATGTTTTGAATTTTATCGAAGCTTTGAGAGCTTTTTTTTTAATATTCAAGACTGCATTAAACTAATTTATTTGCCGGGAATTGATTAACGTCGCTAACTGGAAGAAATTCCAAATTACTCTCTCAATCATTCGATCTCTCTTTCACGTATCTACCGGTACTAGAATGATCTGATTTCATAATTAAAATGACTTCTACGTTTTAATCTTGCCTTTTTTATTTGTTATCATATTATTACCGACGCTTCAGATACTTTGCAGTTTTTACGGTCACGAATGACGTGTTAAGCGTGGACGTGACCTTGGTTTTCTAGCCTTGAAATAATACAATCTTAAATGGAGATCTTGGACTAGGAACCCCGCTTTTAACAACTCATCAACTGATCCGGCTTTTAAGAAGCGAATACTACTAATACTGATTACGTAAACCGAAATTTCTAGAACGTATGTGCGATTCTCTCGACTCAAGCAATTCTATATTTACAAGTCACGCCGTCTGTATGTGTATACTTCACAGTAGAAACTAGTAGCATAGACACGTACAGCTCCGAAAAACTAAAACATCATCAAAACAAATACAAATCTGCCGGTTCTTAGCTTTCGTAGTCCAATTGATTTCTCCGCTAAGGCGAACTAAGGCGTCGGGTTAGTACTTCGATTGTCATGCATAGCTCTCGCGAGGCGTGTCGGTCGACATTATTCATAATGCGACGTTCACACCTTCGTCACATACCGAGTGCGATTGCATTCTGACATAGTAACCGAGAGGTAACTGTTGCACTGATGCGTTTTTCTTTTTTATTTATTTTTATTGCTTAGATGTGTGCACGAGCTCACAGCCTACCTGTTAAGTGGTTACTGGAGCCCATATACATCTACAACGTTCTAAGGTCTCAGTATAGTTACAACGGCTGCCCCACCCTTCAAACCGAAACGCATTACTGCTTCACTGCAGAAATAGGCGGCGTGGTGGTACCTACCCGCGCGGACTCACAAGAGGTCCTACCACCAGTAACGCAAATTATAATTTTGCGGGTTTGATTTTTGTTACACGATGCTATTCATTCATCGTGGAAGTCAATCGTGAGCATTTGTCAAGTACGCATTGGTACCCGCCTGCGGGATTCGAACACCGGTGCCTCGCTCAACACGAATGCACCAGACGTTTTATTCTTTAGGCCACGACGACTTCAGAATAGGATAGGAAAATATAATAATAAAAATAATAATAATAATACAGTTTACGTTCATCGTCTTCTGTAATCGTCCCAATGCACACGATAAGAGAACCCGAATAAAGATCCTTCACAATGATACTGAGTTCGTCCTTGAATCGAAAAAGAACTGGTAATATAGTAGTAATTCTCACTAAAATCTCTACCAACGAGGCCCCAAAATTAGATTTCAACACTGGCTCAAAATTGAATGGTATACATATAAATAGGATTATTCAAGGTAAAAGAAAATTAAAGATATTCGAAAGAAAAGTCTAGACGAATTAATATTTTTATGTTTAATAAAAAAACCAATACAAATTTCAATGTACTATCAAATAAACTATTTAATTTTGTGCTAGACAGAGAGAGCACTATTTTGAATAAACCCTGCCAAAAAAAAACTCAAAAGTATAAATACTGCTTATATATATAATTCAAATATTACCTTAATTTCAATTGCTTTTGCAGTACACATATCAAATTTGATTAAATTCCTCAAAGACACTTTGCAATAAACAAGACATGAAGTAACTATGTAATAATATTTAAAAAAAAAAAGTCAGTTAACTTCGCCCCAACGTATTTCGTTTCATCTGTTAGAATATAATTTTGTCAGCTTATCTTTTTACGAGGAAACCACTGAATACTATATTAATGAAACTTGGCACAGACATAGTTTAAATCATGTAGGAATACGTGGGCGAAGCCACGGGCAATTTTAGTTTTTATTATAAACGGAAATGGTCACGTTTCGATGTTGCACGTCCGATAAGATAAATTGAAGTGAAAATGGAATTTGATTACGAAGATGGCCGACAAATTCTTAGCTGGAAGATTTAATAGTGATGGGAAAAGACGGAATTATATTATTAACATTATTAACTAGGAACTTATCTAATGAAAAATGGATATTGTGTTAATAAAAAAAACATCTAATACTTTCTCACGATTTTTTTTTAAATCTTCGATTTCTAATTTAGATAAAATTTGAGAAAATAATTTTACGAAAAATTTCAATGATGATTCATAAAAAGTTTTGATGTTAATGAAACTGCACCTAAAGCGTGCGTGTGCGCGTATCCTGCCTCGACTTATGTATATCTATCTGATTTCTATTCAATCTTGATACGAGCTTCATTGAATAAAGACGTGGATTATGTCGGACCTAATATCCTTCGCGTCCTACATTCATTGCCGATGTTTGATTTACGACTTGATAAATTGCTATCTGCGACGCACGTAGCATGGAATTCGAAATTCGAAAATCATGCTAAGTTAGTGTAATAACGCTAAACACGAACCGAACCCAACCTTGAGATCCCGCATTCTAGACAATCTAAACATCGGTATTAATCGTCCCGCACTCGACATCTCGCGCAGTTTTCTTAGATACACTTGGCTCGGAGCCAGAAGTGGCCGTTGTCGTACACTTGACAAGGAGCTTAACCCAAAAGATACGTCACACCGCTGTGCCAACGTCCGTTGCCCAACGGCCCGGACGATCGACACCCCAACAACAAACCTTACCACCATTATAATTAAGACCTTTCTTCTTTTTCAGATACCAAGAACGAAAACTAACGGAACACCTCATTAGGCATTTAAGTCTTCAATCTGTGATCTCATGTTAGTATAGTGACGGACGCCTAAATTAGTTTAGCGAAGAGACTTGGATCAGGATAGGATGTTAGTTGCTGTGGCGTTTTAAAGTGACATGGATGACAGATAGTGGGGGTTTGATTAGAGGATGGGATATAGTAGAACTCGGGTGAGTTGAAGATGCCGCATGCTCACTCGAGTTCGGCTGCGAGCTCGGGCGGCGACGACCTGGGCTCAACGGATGAGATCAAGGTCTTCAAGGACGAGGGCGACGGAGAGGACGAGAAGAGAAGTTCCGAGAACCTATTAGAGGAGAAGTCGAGTCTAATCGATTGGACCGAAAGCGAGGTGAGTAAATACTCGTATAGATATTTTTGACGTGTCCATTTTTTTTTTATTGCTTAGATGGGTGGACNTGCGAGCTCGGGCGGCGACGACCTGGGCTCAACGGATGAGATCAAGGTCTTCAAGGACGAGGGCGACGGAGAGGACGAGAAGAGAAGTTCCGAGAACCTATTAGAGGAGAAGTCGAGTCTAATCGATTGGACCGAAAGCGAGGTGAGTAAATACTCGTATAGATATTTTTGACGTGTCCATTTTTTTTTTATTGCTTAGTTGGGTGGACGAGCTCACAGCCCACCTGGTGTTAAGTGGTTACTGGAGCCCATAGACATCTACAACGTAAATGCGCCACCCACCTTAAGAAATAAGTTCTAAGGTCTCCGTATAGTTACAACGGCTACCCCACCCTTCAAACCGAAACGCACTACTGCTTCACGGCAGAAATAGGTAGGGTAGTGGTACCTATCCGCGCGGACTCACAAGAGGTCCTACCACCAGTAATAAGTGACAAGTGTATTACTCTGCTTTGTATAGCGGGCATCGTGAACGCGGTCACAGATTGTAACTAAGAATTAAGTGAGTAGCTAAGAATGTTTGATGACAGGATCGCTGTTGATGTACCTAAAACAAATAAGACGCACACAATATAAATATATATGTTGGCGCACGTCAGTGATGTCTGAGCGATAGTTTCCGTCATCACTCGTATTTGGTTGAACTCAGTTTATAAAAAGTCAATAAAACTTTTTGAATAATAATTATTGAAACTCAACACACACAACTTTCACAATGACAGGAAAAACCGACAGTTTCGTTGCACATACCGACAGACCGACTGACTGACTGACTGCCAGAGACTCACTGCTGAGACGGACGGAATCACTGTCTGACACGAATGCCACGACTCTGTCCACGTACCGCCATTTTATACTGTGGCGTTACGGAGTCTACCCTTCATTTTGTGATATTTATCAAAACAACATTTCATAATTTAAAATAACAATCAAAACCACCGTCTTAATATTACTAAAAGTCGTTATCCACGACATATATATACAGGGGTTAGTTTTTTTTGACGTGTCAGATCTATTAATTTGTTCATATAGCAACGGCCAATGTTTGCTTTGTTCATACAATCTTCAATCGTAATTCAATTATCTCTTTTGATTACTACTCCTAAATCGCACTATAGTATTTAATTGATATATTGACGTAACATTTGGTAGGTTGATATTTTAGGTGGTATTTTTGAGAATATGAAAACTGCGTAATATCAATTCAGTAATGCTCATTATAAGCTATTTTAAAGTAGGCACAAACACTGGATTATTAAGAATACAAATATAATATACACGTTTAAGGCGATTTTAGTTACTACAACTCGTTTGAAGAAGATTATTGGGAAGCTTTTTGAGATGAATCTTACATTGTCTTACACAGCACCAAGATTAATACGTGACATCATCCAAATTTTTATATCTGTATAGAGAGAGAAAAATTTGTAAACACCAATATCGATTTTGTTTACGTTCTAATCAGACTACAAGAACGAATATTATTTGACGGTTGGAACGTTGATTAGTATTTCCATATATTATAGTTAATATTATTAGTAGATTATTTTTACCATAAAGCTATCATTTAAAACAGCTTGGAGCGACGGATAAATTAAAAAATTATTTCAGCTACATATGTGCCTAGATTTTTTTTTTTTAATAAATAAATATTTACTAACAATCACGCCACGTTAACTGGTCCCGTGATAAGTTCGTAAAGAACTTGTGTTATAGGTACCAGATAACGGATATCAATGTAAGATTTTTATTATACACATACATATATTTAATAGACATCCATAACCCGCTGGAAAAGACATTTATATTTATCATACAAATATCTTCCCTTGGCGGGATTCGAACCCGCGACCCCCTTGTGTAGTGACCATGTCACTTACCACTACACCAGACGGCCGTTACATATAAGAACCAGACAAGACATCGAAAACTATTCATCTCGATTTAAAAACACATTAATTACGTATTGTAAATACTAATTTCAGTGTTAAAACATAATTTAATGAATTTAATTGTTTTTTAATTTATAGCTGGAATTTAGGCCATCAGAGACTAGGTAACGAAAAAATAAAAAGAGACATATGGTTCAATCTCTCGTAATTTCAATTTTGAATAATTAAATGGAGTTCCTATTAAAATATTTACGTAAGCGAATATTCTGAAAGCTGATGCAACGGTGTTCGAATCTCAGGCGGGTACCAATTTTTCTAATAAAATACGTACTCAACAAATGTTCACGATTGACTTCCACGGTGAAGGAATAACATCGTGTAATAAAAATGAAACCCGCAAAATTATAATTTGCGTAATTACTGGTGGTAGGACCTCTTGTGAGTCCGCGCGAGTGGGTACCACCGCCCTGCCTATTTCTGCCGTGAAGCAGTAGTGCGTTTCGGTTTGAAGGGTGGGGCAGCCGTTGTAACTATGCTTGAGACCTTAGAACTTATATCTCAAGGTTGGTGGCGCATTTACGTTGTGGATGTCTATGGGCTCCAGTAACCACTTAACACCAGGTGGGCTGTGAGCTCGTCCACCCATCTAAGCATTAAATAAAAAAAATCGAAAAAATTTAATGTAAATAAACAATTCGCCAAAGCAGAAGAAAATGCTTATCTTATTTTTGAATGGACTTGTGAATTTCGATTAATTGAATACAAAACCATCCCAGTACTGGATGAGTTAATGCAGCAGAGAAGCATACACCTACCGTTAAGATGTTGCAGTTATTATAAATATTGCTTCAATAACTTACAATCTTGCACATGAGTAAGTTTAAAATGACGTTACTATTACTAAACCGCAGAAATCGGCGTCACATTCGTTGTTTGAAATGCAACATATTTTTCTCGCTTAGTTCAAGACGCGTACAATTTATGCATTTTTATTTTGTTTTTACGACCTGAATTCGAGTTCTTACAAAATCTCAAACATTTCTGTTCTAAATAAAAATCGATATTTGCGTGTTTTTATTTAATAGCTCTGTAATATATTTTTATAACACATTCAACAAGTTTCCCAAAGAATATTAATTAAGAGATAATTTTATATTTCATTTATGAGCAGACTAGTCTTTCGGAGGTTAAACAGTAACTGATGTCCATAGACATCAGAGACTCAGGGGAAATCTCAAAAAAGTTTAAAGCGCCTGACGTTTCACGGCAGAAGCAGGGTAGGAGTACCTATGGGGCTTCATAATACGCCCTACGATCAGCAATGATACTTAAAGATAACCCTTTAACATAAGCTACCATTGTAGTTTTCACAGCGCGCTTTCGGTATTTAGCACGAAAAAAAAACCATAGTGATTGACCTTTTGAACAATATACGAATGCAAGTTAAACATAAATAAATAACGTCGGTGGTCTCCATAGAAATGCTCTATTTGTAAAAACCGAGCTTCACGCGGCGCTACAATTTGCTCTACAATATAGGGTACAAAATGTACGAATCACCATCTCTACTATAGAGCAGGTGCCCATCTCAGGTAGAGCTGAACAAGGTCCTATTATTTGCATTGTTAAAACCAATGGGATGTGCACAATATATTGAGTTTGCGTTTACGAATTAAATTTTGCGTTCCGTTTCAAATTATTCAAGCAACAATGACTCTTATTTGTATTAAGTTAAGTTACCCTGGAACATTCAAGTTATTTGTGAACTTAACACCAGTACAATTTTCGGTTTATTATTGTTGTCCTATCCACGTTATTTATAATTGAGCAATGCATGGGAGTAATTTTTTTTTGACGGAAAAAAAATTTAACTTGCGCATTTGATATTAAAATAATCGAATTATCTTCTTGTTTCGCTTCTGAATAAATCTGGTTTCGTTGTTGTTTTTATACAGGTTTTGATTCTTAGTTATGGATAGAAGAGCTAACAACCGACTTCGTATTGACATTCTGAATATCCCATGCCTAACACAACTTCAATACCACTGCCTAACTTAGAACATGAAATGATTCCAACCCAGTGATAGGTTCAACGAACCCTGCTCTTGCTAGGTTTTTTTTTCTACCTAAGCTGATAGCCTTGAGAGGCTATTACAGCGTAACTTTAACTAGTAGGTGAGCTCACGGGGCTCAAACCTGAAGACGTTGCTAACACGAACCCTAGCAATAGCCGTGCTGCGCAGAATCTACCACCAGATCGGAAACGCGACCCACTGAGAAGATCTAGCGAAAAACTCAGTGAGCTATGTCTGTCCTTCATCGCAAGCGACAGGTTCGACAAGAACGGTGACCGGTGCTTGAGGTACCTAAAAGCTTCGTTAGTGGATCGGGAGGATCCGAAATGACGTGTTTTGGGCGACGTCGACTGCTTTCCATTCTGCCCGCAGGATCGGGAATGTAATTACCGGCAGCCACGATGAGAGGGTTCTCGAGCCGCTTTATCGAAGTGGGTTGCTAGGGCTAGCTAGCTAGTATTAGCTATTCTCTCAGGTTGAGTCCGTAAGCTCACTACTAATACGACCGTAGCTGGAAATAGCCTCTTAGGCTACCAGTGATTAGGTAGGGAAAAATAAGTAATTGTATATTGTGTACACTCCTTCTAACTGGGTCGAATAATTACTTCGCGGCAGAAATAAGTAGGATGACTGTACCTAATGCAAAAATAAAACTCCTCACGAAAATAACTACTCCTTCAAACTCTTTCAGACAGGCAAATATAATATTATCACGCCCCTCTAACAGATCAGCGAGTAGCTTAAACGCTAATGTCGCCCACGCTATTAACAAAGTTACTGTCACTGTCGACAAACATATACTCCATGTTACATGCGCTAACACTTTCAGGGTCCTTATGTGATGTGAAAACGATACTACCGTTTTAAACGTTACAGTGGATATAATTAAAAAGATATAATTTTATCAAAACTCAGTGTATAATGGCATTTAATTTTTAAAATACAGACACAGAAGACGTGCGGAGCATCTAGCCGTCTCTCTCTCGCATGATCGCCTGTAACGACAGTGACGTCATTAAACATTATGTTAATTTTTTTTCAACTATTTATATTTTAGACAATTCCACAACCTGATTGTAATATAGTAATATTACAATATGGCTTTGTATTATTGTGCTGATTTTCATTGGTAAGTTTTATCATGTAGATACAAAATAAAATGTATTAGACGTAAT